TCAAGCAATTCTCCGGCCTCAGCCTCCCGAGTAGCTGGGACTACAGGCATGCACCATCATGCCCAGCTAATTTTTGTATTTTTAGTAGAGACGAGGTTTCACCTTTGTTGACCAGGATGGTCTTGATCTCTTGACCTCGTGATCCACTCACCTCGGCCTCCCAAAGTGCTGGGATTACAGGTTTGAGCCACCACACCCAACCTATTTCATTCTTAAATAACCACAGTTGCTAATGGGATATGTGTGTCTGTTTTTGGTCACTGCACAACTCCTCAAACCCTGGAACAAAATTGTCCACTGCCACCTCTCTCATTTCCCATGCCACATTGACTTTCACGGTCAATGCTTTTTATCATGGTGACCAAAAACCCCTGGCTCTGCAAAGACATATGCCAATACAAGGGCTATAGTGTGTTCTAATGTCAAAATTGTGCTAACACTGTAGTTAGAGCGGTGTGTAACTGACATAGCTATGTTTCCCTCAAATATCTGAAACAGCCCACAGTGCCCCTGTGAATTTGCTGTACCCAAGCTTCCCTGGCATACAGTTTAAGAACCTCAGCTGTATAACATTTTGTAACTTTTGAGTCTAGTTGAGGAGTTAGTCCATTGTGAAAAGGCATGACATATAGTTTCCCCCAATCATTTTGTCCCAAAATGTCCTACAGTCAAAGTACCCCATTTCCAGTGGACTGTGCAGAGGGGAACGAACAAACAAACGAAAAACCCCAAACTACCCTTTCCCATTTCAGCCAGTCCACTGAAGACACTTTGTGGCAGATTCTTTTTTTTTTTGAGGCGAAGTCTCACTGTGTTGCCCAGGCTGGAGTGCAATGGCACGATCTCAGCTCAATGCAACCTGTCTTCTGGCTTCAAGCAATTCTCTGCCTCACCCTCCCGAGCAGCTGGGATTTAGGCACCTGTCACCACTCCCGGATAATTTTTGTAATTTTAGTAGAGACGGGGGTTCACCATCTTGGCCAGGCTGGATTTGAATTCCTGACCTCGTGATCCACCGGCCTCAACCACTCAAAGTGCAAGGATTACAGGCGTCAGCCGCTGCACCCGGCCTCGTAGCAGATTCCTTAACCTTCTATGCGAATTGTACTAGTGCCTTATCACCTGCAGTAGGGGATGGAGGTGTCCGTTTCCTTTTTCCCCTTTCCTGGCATCTCTGGTATTGGGGAGAAAAAAAAAGCATGAAAGGGAAATAATAAGTACTGGGGGACTCCAAAGGGGAGAGGATGGGAGGGATTTCGTGTTGAAAAATGACCTATTGTGTACAAGGTTCACTATTTTAGTGATGGGTGCACTAGAAGCTTAAGCTTCACCATTACATATTATATTCATGTAACAAACATGCACGTTTGTACCCTGAATCTTTACAAATAATAATAATAAGAGCATGGATGGGCAGGCGCAGTGGCTCACACCTGTAATCCCAGCATTTTGGGAGGCCGAGGTGGGCGGATCACCTGAGGTTGGGAGTTCAAGACCAGCCTGACCAACATGAAGAAACCCCGTCTCTACTAAAAATGCAACATTTGCTGGATGTGGTGGTGCATGCCTGTAATTCCAGCTACTTGGGAGGCTGAGGCAGGAGAATCACTTGAACCCAGGATTCGGAGGTTGTGGTGAGCTGAAATTGCACCATTGCACTCCAGCCTGGACAACAAGAGTGAAACTCCATCTTAAAAAAAAAAGAATAGCATGGGAGACAGAGGCCTTATGTGACTGCCTGTCAGGAGCGGATCCAGGACCCAGACTTGAAGCTTATAAATATGTATAAAATGTTGGGCCCAGGAGTGGTGACTCATGCCTGTAATCTCAGCACTTTGGGAGGTGAAGGGAAGCAAATCACCTGAGGCCAGGAGTTGGAGGCCAGCCTGGGCAATGTAGCAAGAGCCTGTCTCTACAAAAACTGAAAAAAAAATGAGCTGGACTTTATGGCACGCACCTGTAGTCCCAGCTACTGGGGAGGCTATGGCAAGAGGATCACTTCAACCTGGGAATTTGAGGTTACAATGAGCTATGATTACGGCACTGCACTCCACCCTGGCAAGAGAGTGAAGAAAACAGCTGAGCACAGCGGCTGTAATTACACTTGTAATTTCAGCACTTTGGGAGGCCAAGGCAGGAGAATCACTTGAGGCTGCGTTGAGCTATGATCGCATCGCTGTACTCCAGCATGGGCAGCAGAGTAATACCTTGTCTCAAAAAAACCACAAACAACTGG